TGCCTAACTATCAGGATGTGGCAACATTCTTGCGCGTCAAGCCGGATAAGGGGTTGTTCTACTTCGATAATAGCTTCCGGCCAGTAGCGTTAGAACAGCAATATATTGGTGTTACTGAAAAGAAAGCATTAAAGCGTTTCCAAGTCATGAATGAGATCGTTTACGAGAAGACAATGGAGCACGCTGGTCGCAATCAAGTGCTTGTCTTCGTGCACTCACGCAAAGAGACAGGTAAAACGGCGCGCGCCGTGCGTGATATGTGTCTGGAGAAGGACACACTCGGTAGCTTTCTGCGTGAAGGTTCAGCCAGCATGGAAGTGTTGCGCACAGAAGCGGAACAAGTGAAAAACACAGAATTGAAGGAGTTGCTGCCCTATGGCTTCGCTATTCATCACGCTGGCATGACGCGTGTTGATCGTACCTTGGTGGAAGATCTGTTCGCCGATCGTCATATACAGGTAAGATTTTCATAGTGCAATAAAATCAAAACATATTATGTATTTAAATTTCTTTACTTTTAAATCGTTTAATAGGTTTTGGTGTCCACAGCCACATTGGCCTGGGGTGTCAATTTGCCGGCACATACAGTTATCATCAAAGGCACGCAAGTTTATAATCCGGAAAAGGGTCGTTGGGTAGAATTGAGCGCGCTGGACGTACTACAGATGTTGGGTCGTGCCGGTCGACCGCAATACGATACCAAAGGCGAGGGCATACTCATCACAAATCACAGCGAATTGCAATTCTACCTATCGCTGTTGAATCAGCAATTGCCCATCGAATCACAATTCATTTCAAAAATGCCAGATATGCTGAATGCTGAAATTGTGCTGGGCACAGTACAAAATTTGAAGGACGCCGTACATTGGCTGGGTTATACCTATCTTTATATACGTATGTTACGTAATCCCACTTTGTATGGCATTTCTCACGACGCCATACGCGATGATTCGCTGCTGGAGCAGCATCGCGCCGATCTTATACACACTGCCGCCTTGCATTTAGATCGCAGCGGTCTTGTCAAATATGATCGCAAGAGCGGCCAATTCCAAGTGACTGAGTTGGGCCGCATAGCTTCGCATTACTATTGTACGCACGAAACCATGATGACATACAATCAATTGCTGAAGCAAACGCTTAGCGAGATCGAGCTATTCCGTGTGTTCTCACTCTCCTCGGAGTTTAAACACATTGCTGTGCGCGAAGAGGAAAAGCTGGAATTGCAAAAGCTTATGGAACGTGTACCTATACCGATTAAAGAGTCCATGGAGGAGCATAGCGCCAAAGTGAATGTGTTGTTGCAAGCGTACATATCGCAATTAAAACTGGAAGGATTCGCACTAATGTCCGATATGGTATTCATAACGCAGTCTGCGTCACGTTTAATGCGCGCTATTTTCGAAATTGTGCTCTATCGTGGCTGGGCGCAGTTGGCCGACAAGACGTTGACACTCTGTAAGATGATTGATCGCCGTATGTGGCAGTCTATGACGCCGCTGAGACAATTCAAGAAGATGCCCGATGAAATAGCTAAGAAATTGGAGAAGAAAAACTTCCCATGGGAACGCCTCTACGATCTGGAGCCAAATGAGATTGGCGAGTTGATACGCGTGCCAAAGCTGGGCAAGACAATACATAAATTTGTACATCAATTTCCGAAGTTAGAGCTATCCACACATATACAGCCTATAACGCGTGCCACACTGCGCGTAGAGCTCACGATTACACCCGATTTCCAATGGGATGAGAAAGTGCATGGTTTATCCGAAGGCTTTTGGATACTTATTGAGGATGTTGACTCCGAAGTAATTTTACATCACGAATTCTTTCTGCTCAAGGAGAAATATGCCGTAGATGAGCACCAAATCAAGTTCTTTGTGCCAGTCTTTGAACCGCTGCCACCGCAATATTTCTTACGTATAGTCTCGGATCGTTGGATTGGTTCGGAAACACAATTGCCGGTCTCTTTTAGACATTTAATATTACCCGAGAAAAATATGCCACCAACGGAGCTGCTCGATTTGCAGCCATTGCCCATCTCCGCGCTACGCAAACCGAAATTTGAGGAATTCTATGTCGAACGTTTTCCACAATTCAATCCCATACAGACGCAGGTTTTCAATGCGGTTTACAATAGCGACGATAACGTGTTTGTAGGCGCACCCACAGGATCTGGTAAAATGACCATAGCCGAATTCGCTATTATGCGTTTGTTTTCACAGCAAGCCGAAGGTCGTTGTGTCTACTTGGTATCCAAAGAAGCTCTTGCCGATCTTGTATTTGCCGATTGGCATGCAAAGTTCGGCGGTCTTTCACTCAAGGTTGTTAAGTTAACCGGTGAAACTGGTACCGATTTGAAATTGCTAGCCAAAGGTCAGATTATTGTTACCACTGCAGACAAATGGGATGTGTTGTCGCGCCGTTGGAAGCAACGTAAAAACGTGCAAGCGGTCAATCTCTTTATAGTCGACGAATTGCAATTGGTTGGTGGCGAAGACGGTCCAGTTTTGGAAGTCGTTTGTTCGCGCATGCGTTACATTTCATCGCAAATTGAGAAACAGATACGTATCGTGGCGCTTTCCTCTTCGTTAGCCGATGCGCGCGATGTTGCACAATGGCTCGGCTGCAATGCCAACGCCACATTTAATTTCCATCCGAGTGTGCGTCCAATTCCACTAGAGTTGCACATACAAGGCTACAGCATCACACATAACGCAACGCGTATTGCTTCCATGTCGAAGCCAGTATACAATGCGATCATCAAATACAGTCCACACAAGCCAGTCATCGTTTTTGTTTCATCGCGTAAGCAAGCGCGTCTCACGGCCATCGACATACTAACGTACAGTGCATCGGATATGCAACCGAATCGTTTCTTTCATGCCGAAGAAGAAGACATCAAACCATTCCTCGACCGTATGTCCGATAAGACATTGAAGGAGACACTATCGCAGGGCGTGGCGTATATTCATGAGGGACTTACGGCATCCGATCATCGTTTGGTGGAGCAGCTCTTCGACTCCGGCGCTGTGCAGGTGGCAGTGGTGGCACGCGATCTCTGCTGGGGCATGAGCATTTCGGCGCATTTGGTTATCATTATGGACACACAATTCTACAATGGCAAGAATCATTCCTATGAAGACTACCCCATAACTGATGTGCTGCAAATGATTGGACGTGCTAATCGTCCCATTGAAGATGCGGATGCTAAATGTGTGCTGATGTGTCAATCATCCAAAAAGGATTTCTTCAAAAAATTCATAAATGAACCGCTTCCGATTGAGAGTCACTTGGATCACCGTCTACACGATCACTTCAATGTTGAGGTGGTCACGAAAACCATCGAGAACAAACAGGATGCGGTCGATTATCTCACTTGGACATTCTTATATAGGCGTCTCACACAAAATCCCAACTATTATAATTTACAGGGTGTTACGCATCGTCATCTCTCCGATCACTTATCCGAGTTGGTTGAAAATACACTTTCCGACTTGGAGCAATCCAAGTGTATTAGCATTGAAGACGATATGGACACGCTACCGTTGAATTTGGGCATGATCGCAGCATACTATTACATTAATTACACAACAATTGGTAAGCGTGTGGCATATTTTAAAAACATTTTCGATTTTTTTTTTATATTTTTCCTCTTTCTATTACAGAACTCTTCAGTCTATCATTAAATAGCAAGACCAAAGTGCGCGGTTTGCTCGAGATCATCTCATCGGCAGCAGAGTACGAGGACATCGTTGTGCGCCATCACGAAGAGAATATTCTGCGCACACTCTCACAACGTTTGCCCAACAAATTGACTGGTCCAAACGATTCTGCGCCAAAGTAAGTAGCTTTAAACGCCTGCGTATTGCGTATCAAACGCAACAACTGTCAACAAGCCACTAGTTACTACAATTCTCCAAAAAAAAAAAAAAAATTCGACTGCGCCTATATATTATATATAGTTATAAACACTTCTCTCTTTATGCAGATTCAATGATCCACATATTAAAACAAATTTGTTGTTGCAAGCACATTTATCACGCCTACAATTGGGCCCCGAACTACAGGGTGACACCGAACTAATTTTGAGCAAAGCCGTTCGTCTCATACAGGCCTGTGTGGATGTGCTCAGTTCGAATGGTTGGCTCTCGCCGGCTGTGGCTGCCATGGAGTTGGCGCAAATGGTTACGCAAGCCATGTGGAGCAAGGACTCATATTTGAAACAGTTGCCGCACTTTACAGCCGACATCATTAAGCGTTGCACAGAGAAGGTACAATAACCGAGAAAAAAAATTTGAAAATCCCACAAAATAATGTATTATATGTATTTAATAGAAAATCGAAACTGTTTTTGACATCATGGAGTTGGAGGATGATGACCGCTCACGACTGCTGCAACTAACTGATGCACAAATGGCCGACGTGGCGCGTTTCTGTAACCGTTATCCAAACATCGAAATGAACTTTGAAGTGCTGGATAAGGATCGCATCAATTCCGGCTCCACAGTGAATGTCGTTGTGCAACTGGAGCGTGAAGACGAAGTTACTGGGCCAGTTATTGCACCATTCTTTCCACAGGTATGTCAAGAATGGCGTTTTTTGCTTTAAATTTCTGTGTTATCTTAACTTATTTGTTTGCAGAAACGCGAGGAAGGTTGGTGGGTGGTCATTGGTGATCCGAAAACAAACTCACTGCTTTCGATTAAACGTCTTACGCTGCAGCAGAAGGCAAAAATAAAGTTAGATTTTGTGGCGCCCAGCCCCGGCCGACACGAGTACACGCTGTACTATATGAGCGATTCATATTTGGGCTGCGATCAAGAGTACAAGTTCTCAATTGAGGTTGGCGATTTCCAGTCGGAAAGTGAAAGTGAATCGGAATAAGCTAATAATATGCGGTCTTCAATTAGTCTTAGTTTAATGTTTTTCGTAGATTTTTGCATAAATTTGCATATTTCGCGTGTGCGCCTGTTGGTAATAAAGAAAGGCAAACAAACAAATTTCTTCAGTATTTATTTTTTTATTATAAGCGAAGCGCTGAGGCTACGTAATTTGGAATTCCTGTTTTTTAATTAATGATTGAAGTATTAGAAAGAGAAAAAAAATACCAATAATTCTGCTTAAGTAAGAAATGTCATTATATTTCAGTAGCGACTAAAATATTTGATGGCGCCAGCTTAATCCTGTGCAGCGATATTAACAGAATTGCACATTTTAACATTGATATAGAGCTTTATTTGCAGTTTCTAAAACTTAGTGCTCTAACGTTGACTGACAGACACCGATGAACCACGGCTGTTGGCATTATTGCCGTTGGCACCATTAGCAAAGCTATTTGTGCTGGCAAAGTTGATCACTTGTCCATTGGGCAGTCTATAAGCTTGGCTCATTGAAGCAGCGGCAGAGTTTTGCGGTCCAAAAGCACCAAACTGCGAAGCTTGTGTCAAGGTGCCCGCTGAGGAGGCACCGAACGCGCTATGCGGACCGAAAGCGTTGAATGCTTGTGAACCAGCATTGGCGGCAGCTGCGCTAGAGCCATGCGGCCCAAATTTGAAACTGTTCGCATCAGCTGCAGCAGTCGCCTGCGATTGACCTGACTGTGGCATGCGTTTCACACGCACATGCTCCAGCAATGATGCGCTGTTCAAGGGCATGGCGTAGGGTATGCTGCGCACACGTCGCACTTGCGGTCGCATATTCGATTTTGGCTTGATATAGAGCGAAGACTCCACTAAGACTTCGTCGACAGCAGCGCCATTGATCGCTAGGGCGGAATGAAAAACAAAAAATTATAATGAATGATGTATGCTTTCGTTATTTGCTTTCTACTCACGTAATGGCGCACTGCGTGTATTATCCTCGCTGACAACATTCAAACTAGACGCAGTTATGCATGCTGCGCCGAGTATTAAGACCGCCGAAAAAGTTGGGAAACGCATTGTCTACTATTTTATATATGTATGTATGAATATTTTTCGTTTCAATTACACACGCCACTAATGCTAAGGCTTTGCCTTACAACGTCTCACAAATCGATCTACACTAATCGCTGCTCAAACGCAGACTATCGCCTGAGTCATTGACTGTGTCGAAGATAACTCTCGACTTTACTATTTGACGCTAAAGGTAAGCGCTGAGCAGCTAAGCAAAGGTAGAAATGAGCGCAACAGTGGGCTAGAAAGCGATCGAAGGCAAAAGGTACCAGACATAGAAACTTATACTAGAATTATCCATTGAGTTTTTGAAATCGGAAAATTATTCAGCCTACAAATATGCATTAATTAAAAATTAAACCAAAAAAAAAAAATGTTTAGACAAGAAAAACCGTTAACTTCGTTTGCACTGAAGCTATTATAATCTTCACAGAACTTAATTCCTTGATCGTTCCATTTGTAAGGCAGCTATATGCTATAGTGATGCGATCTAAACAATTTCTTCGGAGACTGCATTATTGCCTTAGACAATAACCCACGCCAAATATGGTGAAGATATTACATTAAATAAAAAAGTTTCCCATACAAATACTTGATGCCCATTGTTCAGTTTGTATGGCAGCTATATGCTATATTGATCCGATATCGGCCGTTCTGACAAATGAGCAGCTTGTTAAAGAGAAAAGGACAGGTGCAAAATTTCAAATCGATAGCTTAAAAACTGAGGGACTAGTTTATATATATATAGACAGACAGACGGAGAGACAGACGGACATGGCTAACTCAACTCAGCTCAACATTTATGTATAGCATCAATCACTTCCATGATTCATAACACACGTAATATGCACGTGCTTATGGCATATAACAATTTATTATTTAACTACTAACCCTTCCGACGTGGGGGAAGACCAAAACGCAAACTCGAGCAAATAAGCAGACAATAGCCGTAATATAATATAACAATGGTCAACAAGAGCCCAAACCAGAAAGCCAATAAGCACCGCAAAATATACGCAGCATCCCACATACATATCCATATGTATATAGCTGTATATGGAAAGAGCGACTCAGCGTTCAACAAACAAGTTTTCGTAAGTCATTAAGGCGGAAACTAGTTTCTGGGTTTTGCTTTAAAGATAGCGTTAAATGCTAAAATAAATAAATAAAGCAGCATCTTAACATACAGACCAACAATCAATGCTCGAAGATAAAGTAAACATATGACTTAGAGAGTGAAAGAGAGAGAGAGAGAGAGGGAGAGCTACAAGTTACAAGAGCACAATCATGTATTGTAAAGCTAAGAGCGCACGGAAACAGCAACAGGAAAATATAAAATAAATTTAAGCCGTTAAATTCAAAACAGTTACAAATGTTGATTAACTGCCACACTTAAAACCAAATTGACTAATTTTTTTTTACACACCTTGTTTGATAATCATGTATATCTTTATTGGGCTTAATTCAAAAATGTATTTATTTAATAAGAGCAAAACAGTGCCACTTCGCTGAATATACATACATATAGAAATATCTATATACATATGTATGTATATCCACAGAAATTCAAACTTTGCAGTTGTCAATCTTACACATAGTTTTGTTGTTTTAATTGACACAATAATCACATATATATATATATATATATATGTATGTGTGAGTGTGTACATACACATATATAACACTAATCGCCGTTAACGTATTTATTTATTGGCTGAGCAAAGTGCAATGTGAAATTATCATATTACAGGTTTACTTGAGTACCAAGACCAAAAAAAAAAATTTACAACAATTTGCAAGAAAAATCTGGAGCAATTGGTGCTGCTAAATTGTATAAGTATTGTATATGCATATGTACATATATGAGCAAGGACTATGTAAAATACTTTTATATGCTTAAATAAACCTGCGTCAATGCGATTATTTATGCGTTAAGTGTGTGTGTGTGTTGTTATATATTTGTTAGCTGTTAATTCATTATTAATATTATTTATTAACACAAAGTTCATTTCTTGTCTGAGATCGCTTAAATAAGACTACAAACATACGGTGCAGTTGGTTTGTTTTATGTAAATAAAATTCACACTTTTAATTTATATAATAGACAATGATAATTATGCAGTCAGTTGAAAAGTTCATAAGCTAATGAAATTCGAATATGCATTTGAAAAATATGTTTTTGAAGCGTACTTAATAACTACATAAACAGTTTTTTTATTTCTGTTTAAACTTGCAGGCAGAGACCAAGCGCCGCCGTTGAAATTCAGTGCGTTTATATACAACGCCGCCTCAATTAAACCTATGCGGTTGCAAATTATAAAGCTTTTTATCAATTTACTGCCAAACTAAGCCACTTTAGGAATTATTATACTAAAACTAAAACAATTGTTGTAATTTTTCGTTTTTAAATTTGAATATACACATGTGTAAAAATAAATCTCAAGTGCATTTCGATATTTTGTACAACAAATTAAAACAAAATTAATTAAAAAAGTAAAACAAAATTAAGTATATTTAATGTTAAGGAAAATCTCAAAGTTATTTATGTAATTGCAAGAGTAAATTTTTATAAGTCTAAAGTCCATTAAAGATTTGGCTGTTCAATACTTAAAATTTCGCTAATGTGTCAATGTGTCTCGCACAATCTTGTAGCTGCTTAATTAAAGAAAAAATTTTATGCTCAAGCTGACGCAATTGCCGCTATGTTTAAGATAGCTTAGATGTGCACATATTTAGGTTTGCATGCACGTCTACTTTTTTTCTCTTTTTTTTTGCCTGTTTTATTATTTTAATTAATTTGTTTGTCTTTTTGAGTTTTTCTTTAAATTGTTTGTGTATTTCTACATGTAACTTGTGCGCATTTATTCTATGCCATGAGCAAAAATCATTACCAAACCCGGTTCCACCATTACGTCTTCGGACATATGAGCATTATCGCAGCTTAAAACCAACACAGCTTGTTTGCCTGCAATATTTAACGTTTATATATTAATAGCGCACGTTTTTCTAAGCATATGTAATTGTCTACCTGGTATACGTCGGCAGACGTAGTTATCATAGATGCGTCTATTATTCTGTCGCGTCTCTAGCGAACTCAAGCCCCGTGGCCAGCGTCTTTCGTGGCAATTCTCCATAAGATTATCCAGTATGTGTGGTGGACAGCCAGATTCGGACAATGCGCGTTTTATCATCATCTAGCAGTGTAAAATGTATTTCTGAAACTTGTTAATTTTTCCTAACCAAACGCCTTACCTGTAGTGCATCATCCGGTGTTGAGATCATACCACCCCAGCGTGTTACTCGTGCCCGTGACAAAGTAGAACTCCAGCGTATCACCTCATCACGTTCCATCTGATCGGCAATCGCTCGCATAGCTGGATTGGAAACGCGCATTGCGCGCATAAAGTCTTTGAATAGTTGCAACTCACGCTTCAACTCATTGATGACCAAATTTTGATCACCGATCTCTGTCTTAAGTTCTCCCATTTTCATTTGTTGTTGATGTATCATGGAACGCAATTCTCGTAGGCAATTGTGATCCTTTAGCTCGTCCTTGGGTATAACAAAACCGCATCCTTTTTCACACGGCAATGGACGTTTTGGATTATGTTCACACTCTTCAAGATGAGAGTTTAGTGCATCCAGCTTGAGTACCAATGTGCAACCATATGGCGCATTATCGCAGGTGATGGAAAGTCTAAAGAAAAATCACACAAAAATTTGATTTTAGGAAATGTTAAATTTTTACTTTTGGCCGTCTGCATATACATACCGTGAAAGCAGATTACGAAGTATACGCGGCACGGCGCGCAAATTTGCGGTATTTAATGCGTTGCGGTCTACTGGGCAGGTGGGCTGACGGGTGAGCCATTCGTTAATGCATGCACGACAAAAAGCATGTTCACACATTGCCGCCTAAGGAGTAATGCCAAGTTAAAGAAATTCATGACGCTTATACTAACATACGTATTTATATTAAATTTTCACGAATTTTCTGTTTTTTCTTTTTTAGATTTGTTAAGCGGTTACTGACCTGTAGCGGCTCTTCAAGTACACCTGAGCATATGGGGCAAGTGAGCTCTTCATCTACTTCACCCTGAAAGCGATGTAAATCGTAACCCATTTTCTTGTAGGTTCCGCTACCTAATGGTGCTGAAAATGTGGCAAGTGGCGTCTGCCTACAAATTCATGCAACACCACTGTTGCTTGAGCAACCGAATTTGTTATTTTCGCAACCTTTTCTTTTTTCTTTTGTCCTCGTTCATTCGGTTTCAATTCTTTTTCGTTTAGCTTGAGCCCTTACAATTGTAGGTTTCACTCGCAACGTTTATTACAAAGAAGGCGTGTATCAACCGTTCTTTTTCAATTAGTGAACTCTTTTTATTTAATTACAGCTAATATTGGTTGTTTCACCTAAATTTTTATAACTAAATCTGCGATCGCAAACAAGCTAATGTTACGAGAAAACAGCACAGCACAAAGCGAAAATGAAAATGAAGGGAAAATTGGGAATTCAGAAAACATGTAAATTTTAAAACTGTCAAACTAGCAAAAGAGATGCCACATGTGTGATAAATGTATTACATGTAATATAAATACCCAAAGTAAAATAAATAACAGGATTTTCTAATATAGAAGCCACTAATGAGGTTTTTTGTTCTTAAAATTTGTCATATCCACTTTTCGTTAAGTAAATTGATAGTATTTATTTTAATAGCAAATATTTCTATTTCATCTACACTAACTTTATCCATACGGCCTTTATATCCCTCATAGAATAAAAACAAATCGGGTTTTAAATTCATAAAAAAGGTATTTTTAATGTAAAGCGTTGACTTTGCCAATATTTTTATCGTATTCTATTATACTAAGCACATTTAACAATATATTCTACAATTTATATATGTATTCTGTATAAAATATAATCTTTTTACAAATACAAAAACAAATAGTTAGTACACTGAAACAGATTCATTTCAAATTATACACGCCATTTTGTTCCAAATTATTAACTATATAATATAATAAGCCATGCAATGCTGATTAGAATGGAAAGTTAAAACAAGATTTGTGCCGTTAACAAATAGGCACATAAAACACTCAAATCCAACTATAAATTCATATCTCAAAATATTTTCAGTTTATAAAGCATTTGACCATTTTGAATTGAAATTTGAAATTGAAATTTTTATAGTGGATTTTACGGATTGGGAGGGATGAGGAAGAGGATACGTTTGTGGTGTTATAAACATTTTCTTTTTCTTTTTTTTTGACAGTTTATTTATTTTTGGTGCTTATTGCGCGTTTGGTTATGCGTCCAAGGAAGATTCCCATCATAAAAATCATGCCCACAGCAGACATAAATATGATTAAGAAGAATTTTTTCGCCGGTGAGGAAACAACTTGACTAACCAGTTGTTCCATATTTTCTGGCGGTTCAGCGAGTACCTGCAAGTTAAATTCAGTTTAGAAATATTGAAAACTTTGAGAATTGAACGAAAATCATTTCCTTACAGTATCTGCATTGCGGAACATTTCAATACGTTTCTGTAATTTCATGCGACAATCTTCTTCCATTGCCTTCGACTGATCTTTCAGTAAGACTTGCAAGCATTTCAATTCTGTAATATCGAAATTTTAAGTTTTTACAATTTGTTTAAGGATAATGCGACAGCAAACTCACTTCTTCCATTTCCACTTTGTACGTTTGAACAGTATCTTAACAGATCTACGGTGCATGCCTCCTGAAGTATGGGATCTACGTGTATGTCCGCCTTGGCTTCCGCTATTAAGGTTGCAACCTCAACGCGGCAATCGCGATTTATAATCTTGTGATTAAGAAAAGCTGTTTTCAAACACTCTTCGACCATGCCGTGTTCCCTGTTTTGTAGATTAGCCTTGCACAATACTTCAATTTCAGATTTGCAGAAATTTTGTAGCAGTGGATTGAGTTGATAGTTCAATGCTTGCTCTTGTAGCACTTTAATCATTTCCTGCGTGCAGTTGTAGTCCAAACGCGATTCACGGAACTTATCTTTTAAACATTGAACAACCTGAAGTGAAATTGATATGAAATCATAAGACTGTACATGTAACTTATATTAATAAGTAATTACCAAGCCGTTTAATTCTTCGTTTGGTTGTGCAGTAGCCACAATATGCGAGCAATAGCGGTCGATATTCTTGCCACATGCCAGTTGCAAGGACGGATTGAATCGATAATCGGTATTTTGCTCAATCATGCGATTTACAACGACCAAATGACAACGTTGATCGAAGAGCGGGTCATCTTTGTATGTCTTGAGGCAGTCTAGCAATTGGTCTGAGTCGACATTATTACAAAATCTATAAGTCATTTCTTTGCATGTGTTGATCAATGTGTAATCGGTGCCACTATCGGAGAGTTGAGATCTTTTCACTAAGAAAATGGCGTGATGGCAGGAACTTCCAAGACGTTGGGTATTTTGTTGCAAACATTCCAAAGCCTTTAATGCAAGTCGAGGTATTATTAAGTAACTATCAAAAAGCCATAATTTCGAATATCATGTGTACAAATATTTTTTGTTACAATATTTAGAATGTAAAATGTGTGGTGAATAAGTGATTGAAAAAGAAACTTGCATTGTTATTCACCTGACCAGGTCCCTTCTCGCCAATGCATAAAGTCTCCAACTCCTTTTTGCATGCATTTGCTAGCTTTGGGTCCAGCAGTATGGATTCGCGTTGTTGATAGAGTTGCGCTTTGACTTGTTGGCGACATTCTTTGGGTATTGAATGACGTTGGCCGCGTATCGTGTCATTACGCATTACTTCGCTCAGGCAGGCGACAACATCATTTTTGGTGGTGCTTGATGCACAGAAGCGTGTGACGTGTGGACGGCAAGCAGTTTTAAATTTGTATGTGAAATGATAATTTTTCAGCGATATGATTTGAAAATGTTCAATGGCAGCACGACATTTCAGATCCTGGCGCAGATCAGCATCGTTTTTATGCGCGATCAAGCAATCCATCATATCACCTTTGTCCTTTTCGCCCTTCAATATGTGCTCACAATGTGTTTGCATTGCATTTATGCACACGGACATAATAACCGGATTCAATTCAATATGTTCCGCCTCTTCTTCTGTGTAAGTAGCAACGGCTTTCTAAAAACAAGATGAAAATTCAAAAAGCAAAAAAAAAAAATTGTGGAGAAAATATATTTACTTTACACGTCGGTGCGAGTTTCTCAAGATTCGTTTGCAAGCAATCCATTTCAGCGCCCTTTTGTGTGCGGTCAAAGCAATATATGGACAAATCCTCAATGCATTCGTCTTCAACTTCAGGTATTAGGTCTACAGATACGGCCCTCTGACGCATCACACGTTTTACCTCTTTGAAGCAGTCCTTACGCAGTGCTAAGTTTTCATCATCACTGTACGCAATACGATGTAGGCAAGGTAAAATGAGTGGCCCACGTTCTGGATCCATTTGAATGTCGTTTACGTCATCCCATACGTGTTTAGCTCGGCAATATTTTATTGCGTCGTCGTGACAATGTTTGTATAATTGTGGATCCAATTTGAAATCACGCGCTACAAAATATTGTATCAGCATTAGGGCTTGCTCGCAGTCCGGCCTCATTACTGGCGTGCCAATGCGTTCCATAAGACAGGACATCACACGTGCCTCGCCAGCGTCTGTGTCGCGGCAGGCCACATCAACGACCGGTTTACAAGCACGTCGTAGAACTGGATCCACACGCCAATCCTCGCCTACGTCAGCTGCCTTTATTAGCTTCTCCAGAGAACGTTGACATTGTGCAGTAACGCGGCGATCCTTCCTACGTTTGGCGCGTGCATGTTCCATGAGACAGTGAATTATTTGACCGTTATCGGTGTTTCCAACAGTGCCTCCTCTGACAACTTGACCCTTTTCAATATCACCACAAAACTTTGGTATATCATCGGCGCAGTCGCTTAGAATTTCTGGCGATAATTTAAAATCGTGCATCAGCATTCGACGATGATCATTTATTTCCGACTGGCACTCCGTGGATACCAGCGAGCCGTTCTTCACAACCGATTCAAGACAAAGTAAGATTTGTGCTAAACGGACTTGTTTGTCCTCGGATACCCCACGTCGACAGTGATATTGCTTGATATCGTCTTTGCAAGCTTTAGCGAGCCCATGTGAAAGCCGATAATCTTTTCCGATTTCACGATCACGTTGTGCAATTTTTTCGTTACAGCGGCGTGTCATTGTGGGATCAGCCTTATTTTTAACAAGACATTTAAATGCTGCAGCTGTACCAGCAGTTTCCTAAATAGAAAGAAAAATAAAAATTAATATAGGTATTTATACATACATATATGTATATCGCATTAAATAAACATAATTTCGGTAGACGTACAAATTAAAACACTTATTTAGATTTCTACTTCATGCACTTGAAACAATAATTTGCAGCGAAAGTGCAAACATTGAAATCATCATTAAGCGCAATTACTCACCTGTCCACATAGGCGTCTCCAGTCCTCACCACACGCTTCGAAAAATTCCAAATCTTTTCGTTGCTGCTCCATTGTACTTAATTCTATTTTACATTTTGCCTCAAGTGCATCAGCAGCTGTCTCCTGTAAGCACTGCACAGTTTCAATTTGTGACATACTTCTGCGCTCCAAGTTTAAACGGCCACATTCTAATTGTTCTATTTGCGAACCACAGACATTCAAAAAATCGCCTAACTGATCAAAGTCTGGAAACAGTGTCGCAATGGAACGCAATATATATGCACGGCATTCGCTGCTGTGTTCCATACGCATTGCACGTTCGTGAATACAGCTCCATAAGCTCACTGCATTCCCACACGATGTTAGTTGTTGTTTCTGTGCGCTGCAGTGTTGTGGGATTAGCTGATCTGTTACCCACTTTTCCGTCTGCATTGTGCGTTGTTGCACCCATAAAGCATGTTGACATTTATCAGGCACAGCTTCCAATTGACTGGAAGAGAATGTGCTAACACACTCCAATACTGACACATTATCCGTTTGTTTGAGGTGTGCACAAAGTGACTGTAATTCCTTGCACTCGGGCCTATCGATGAGACTATGTTCTAGCTGTGCTAGCGACGAGCTCGAATTGCTGGAATTCGACAGCGTGGCGCCGGCTGAAAGTAATAAAACCAAAGCAAACTGCAGCCGCATTCTTTTCCTATAACTTAACTTTATTCACAAAATATGTTTATGCACATGTAAATGCTTTCAAACTCTCTTTTGAGAACTTGATGATGTGTACGTAAAATATGTAAATATCCGCTATACAAATTTTAAAAATTACATTTACAATAGATTATAATAAACTGAATATTCATCCGAGATTAGCCAAGAAGGAATTGGCGAATGACAGTTCTACGATAAGAATAACAAAAATAAAAACAAAAGGTTTGTTCGCACACTTATCTTTCAAAAATCGCATAAGGGAAAGAACTGCCTTATGAAATTTCTCATTGCAGAATGATTTAAAATATATTTTATAATTCGTAAAGCAAACAGTTTGTATAGGCTTCTAATAAATTCGTATATTTGTAATAACTTTTGAATATTTATGCATATTACTGATTGAGCGAAGAGATTTCATTTCATAGTAGCGATGCCACTTAATTTAAAAATATATAAATTAGCTGTAATTTTTTACCTATTTCTGTGTTTAAGTAAATAGTGAATGGAAATGAAATATTGCCTAATTTTAGGCGCACGAATATTGATTTTATT